TATGGTAGAGTTTTGTAATTATAAAAAAATTCCAATACCTACCTCCTATCCCTATCCTCTCTAGGAACGCACGATGTTCTTTGAACATTATAGGGATTCCCTATCGTGCGCTCCAAGCTCCAAAAAAATAATCCTATTCTATTCAAAATTGGTATTTGGGGGTTTTCGGTATCGGAGTTTATGATTCTTTTGTCGACATTTAAAAAATAAAGATATCGGATCCAATATGGCGGACGAGTTTTGTTCATGATCCGATTATTTTCAAAATTCGTAGGTATCTGAGGGTTTTCGGTATCGGGGAATATGATTCTTTTGTCAAAATCAGGAAAATTAAGATGACGGATCCAATATGGTAGAGTTTCGCAATTATAACCCTATTCTATTCAAAATTGGTATTTGGGGGTTTTCGGTATCGGAGTTTATGTTTCTTTTGACAAAATTAGGAAATTGAAGATGGCGAATCTAATTTGCATATTGGATCCGGATCTATATAGGTTTTCGTTGAAAGGGATTTGCTCTTTTTATTTCAGAGTTCTGTGGCCAGAGAATGAAGAAGTTATACGTATCATTGTACCTTTGGTTCTTATAATCATTTGAACTTCCCGGAGATTTTGAAGTTTATGTTGACATGTTTTCTCTGTGCGTTTTTGAAACATTTCAGACACATTTACCTGATGAAAATAGATGAGATGTTTATGATATATTATTATCAAAAATTTTTTCCATATGATGCCAACTTTATGAATGATACTGTAGAGTGTAGAAACATAATATAAACAAAACACCTGCTAACGTCAAATGGATCTCGCTCTGTGCGGATGACTCGAATCTACTTGGATGGTAAAGCCACAAAGCCATTGAATTTGGACTCGCGATACTCATCTCACTCCCAGAAGCCCATCAAGTCGTCTCAATAAGTCGCCTGTCGCCAAGTTTAATTTTTGGTCGCCAAAATAGGTTCAGAGATAGCCCAATTGTCGAGAAATTGCCCATACTGGCAACACTGGTCACTTATCGATTTTTCTTTGAAGTCCAGTTGGAATCGTTCGGGGAATCACACACACTGCCTGATACCGCGACACCGCCCGCTCCGCCAGTTGGCAGTGCTGCCAGCGTTCTGCTATTTTATATTATAACACTGATGTTTTTGTATATATCAGTAGGGGTCAATCGTTCATGTTCATGACATTTCCTTAGACCTGGCATCACTGGTCACTGGTTGAAACTAAGTAGCACCAAATTTCTAATTCTCAGCAAATGAGAAAAGGAGGAAAGGATTGATTACTTGCTTTCATAAAAAATAATCTTTTGAGTTTCATATGGGCCTATCACAAAAGACAATATTTTGTTTATGCCTACACTGATTTTTTTATGAATATTACCTGTCATGAGTGGATTATGTATACTTACTTCAACACCAGTTTTTTGAATGTGGGAATTCAAGATAATCAAAACTATTTTCTATAAATTGGAAGGAAAGTGGTGGTTACGTTACGATTGAGATATGGGATATGAGAATTTCCCAATTCTGACCAAATGATCATAATCTCCGACCCCGAAAACCGCCAAATACCAATTTTAAATAGAATTGGTCGATAATTACAAAACTCGTCCGCCATATTGAAACCGCCATCTTGAATTTCCCAATTTTGACTAAAGATTCTGAATCTGTGACCCGAAAATCCCAGATACCAATTTTGAAAACAATTGGTCTATAATTTCGAAACTTGTCCGCCATATTGGATCCGCCATCTTGGATTTCCAAATTTTGAAGAAATAATTGTTATCTCCGACTCCGAAAACCCCCTAGATACCAATTTTGAACAGAATCGGATTATATTTGAACAACTCGTCTGCCATATATATTGTATCCGCCATTCTGAATCTCCTCATTTTGACGAAGAAATCATAATATCCGATCCCGAAAACCCTAGATGCCAATTTTGAATAGAATCGGATTACAAAACTCGTCCGCCATATTGGATATCCGCCATCTTGAATTTTCAATTTGAAAAATCGTTTACGACTGATTCTCAGACCTACCGAATATGCACAAAAATCTTCATAAGAATCGGCCAAGCCGTTCGGAGGAATTTGGCGTCAAACACCGTGGCAGGGACAGGAGAATTTTATGTATTAGATTAATATTATCAATCAACAGAGTCAGTTATGCAATACACTCGATAGACTATAAAAAGAAAAAAAAGCGCAATTACTTACAAAAAATCGCAATGACGCAAAACGAAGTTAAAAAGCGCCTTATTGGCAACACTGTTCCCCAGACCCAGAAAGAAGAAATGAATAGAAAGAGAACTGTAATGTTTGTATTAGTTCTTGAAGGAGCGCAGCACGGTAGTTTCACTGTGTGGCCCTCTGAAAGACAATAGCTGAACTACTCTGCCACTGTCGAAACCTCGCTAACAATATGGCGATATTGAAAATAGATGCAGAAACGTCAGAATTAATTTTACGAACAATACATTCCCAAACGACAATGTTCCAGAAGCTGATTATTTCATTAAAAATTTATTGAATTGCTAACTTAGGGTATGCCAGGTTTTTATTCGATTCTGTTACACAAACGTTGTCAATGTTATTGTTTTTCATTACCATATATTTTTTTACACAAATCGAATTTCGCTGGAAAATTCCTTCATATCCTATTCTCAACCTTCGTCTTTAATATGTACCAACCACTTTTGCGCTTACACTTATAGTTTATTAATGATTTGGTACCAAACTGACCTCTGCATGGCAGTTTTGACTGATGCGCCCTCTTAAGTCTTCAAAAATTACGTACTTATTATAAATATTAATAATCGTTCTTTATTGAATTGAATACATAATATCATATACAATCATTAATCATTATTACTCAATTCTACAGGCTATCGACCAAGGTCCTTCAGCACCTATTATATTTCCAACTCAATCAAATTTTAGATGTGATATCGGGATGGTTTAGAATTTCCTATTATTTATAGGTTTTCTGTCCATTGTGAGGTGAAAACAAATCCGAAAATTTAATAGGCGATAGAACTCCTGAAAATGAATAGTAAATTTCATGAAAACTTGTATGCTTTGCAGCTTCGTTTTCTAGATACAAGGTGTTGAAGTATTCTGAAAAAAAAATTGTATTTTTTCTGTGACGGTAAAAAAGTTTGACATTTCATCTCTGTTAATAGGTTATGAAATGTCACTTTCCATAAATCACTTTTATATATATAGGTATATATATAATCCACTGTTGATGGCTGTTGTAGTGCTAGTTCCGAAAAATAAACCAATAACAGGGTCTCCGAGAAAGAACTGCAACATCTTTTATCTTCCATTCCACTTCACGGTTACTTACATTACTGAACAGCCACGAAGTTCGCAATTTTTTAAAACAAATCACAGAATTAGACTAACACTAACATATATTTGATTACTTCAAAATAATGACAAAGCTGCCTGCACTGCAGGTGTAATTCCTGTTAAAAACTTAAAATTTCACGTCTATAATATTCTGATTTCAATATAATGTAATATCTTCTCAATATTGATTCGTCCTTTTCACAGTCACAGAAAGAAATAGTGTATCATGCACGGGAAAAATATCAGCTTTTAGCTCACGGTATTTTGTCTCCTGACGCTAAAATCTACTAGTTGTTTCCCTCGTGTTATAAATAACTATTTATGTATTATAAATAACTATTTATTCACAGTTCGAAATTTCCTCAACTGATTTCCGATAGACTCAGCAGGTTTGTTTGTACTGTTAAATTGCATCTTTTGGCGTAACTAGCTTCATCGTAATTATTCCAGAGGTGTCGTAAAGGATTGTGCTCCACTGTTAAGTTTTACAAGTTCCATATTTTAATTAGTTGTAACAATAGAATACATACATACATTGAGATCACTCAATTGCAAATATTGCAATGAAAAGGATAATTTGGAAATTTCGAAAATTTGTAAGTCACCGACCATACTAAATCTTGGCATTATAAAAGCTGATACAGAATGATAATGGAAAATGGCAAATAATATTCTGAACGTCCTTCAGCACCCTGAATCTCGAAAACTAAGTTACATACACATTTATTCGAAGTTTTCTTTTTATTTTTGCGAGTACTATCACCTACAAAATTTTTCCCATTCAATTCTGAAACACCCTCTACAGGGTGAGTCAGGAGGAACGCACCAAACTCCAGGTGTTCATTGTACACGTTAAAATAATTTCAAAAAACCCATATGTTCCTATACGATTCTCATTGTAAATTTGAATGAATGTGTGGCATTTTATGAGACTTTAATCGTACAGACTCGATTTTTTGGTCCGTTTTGTTGTTCCGACATGTGTTAGTGTTAGTGAGTTTGACGCGTTCATCTTATAGTTTCTACGTTTGAAGTCTTATAAAGTGTGTCGTCGGACTATGTCTTCCGAACTGCTGAACACTTGGTAGAACAAGGTGAATGACAGTGAGTGACGTGAGCTCGATAAGAGACGTCTTCTGCCCCAATAGTTTTGGTGTTCATAAATATTATCTTTCTCATTCCAACATACTCCATTGCCTATGGAGGATAACACTAGTCAACCCAAGATCACACGAACAAGATCCAGCCGCGTATCGGCCATTTGGCCATCTAAGGACATGTCATCTTCTCCTGGCGGGTTCAGGGGATTTCTTCCAGAGAACTCTCCCTGTGCAAAGGCTTCAGGACTTCGCCATACAGAAGCTCTGAGACAAGTGCCACACATCTATTCAAATTCAGAATGAAAGCAATGATAATTGTATAAGAACATATGGGTTTATTAAAATTTTTACGTGTATAAGATATACACGAGGATATACACCTGGAGTTTGGTGCGTTCCTCTCGACTCATCCTGTATAAGGATGCAGTATCCCAAGGGTTTGCCATCATCATTATTTGTACAAATATGAGACCTACGATTCCTGATACCTATTCTATTCCCATATCTGACTGATATAAAGAAGTTATAAAGATTGATACTTACTTGATTTACTTGTCAAATGAGTCAACAATAAGTTGAGATATGCATCGTCTTTGAGTTTGAAATTCGGTTCCAGCAACTTGTTCAGCACTTTCTCAATTCTGGGATTAACTGGTTGAGCCATTGTCATTTCTGTAATGAAAATAACTTTTATCCATAAAGAGATACAAAAATAATGTTTTTCTGCAACTGATACAAAGGTCGTCCATTTTGATACCAAAATTAGCTCTTGAATTGACGTTTATATTACTGACACAAACATAGGTATGTTGCTAGGCAACATATTTAGTTCCTAGGAGCTAAAGTTGAATTTTAGTTCCTAGGAGCTAAAGTTGAACTTTAGCTCCTAGGAACTAAAAAGGATATACTGGACGTCATCAAGAATAAACAACATTGTGACGGTTAGTTATTTGGGTTGAGACGCATACTTGATTTGTTTCCGGTTTCAGCAGATTTGGCATTTCATACCAATGCTGGAGATATAAATACACCTTATTATAGTTTAGTATTGGAATTATAAACATCTCAGCTAAGTATTTTTGTTTGATCAGGGAAGCCTTCAAGATTCAAATACTTGCTTGATCTGTATTTCATTCGTTATTCTCGGGATGGATAATTTGTTTTTGAATAATCACGGCAAACAATAGTTTTTTGTCTCAAACAACGATATTGTTTACCTTCATTTGATTATCAAGTCAAACACAGTGTAGTATGGAGAGGAATAAATAATCACAATTATCATTGTTGATATGCTCACTAACCTAACATTTTCCACGTCTTGTTCCTATAGCTGGCACTGGCGCGGTATTTGCCATTAGAGCACCTGGTCCATACACAAATATGTCACTCTGTGGTTGTATTTATATTGAAACTACAATTCGAACATCCTTGAATATTGAATGAACCTGCTGTTGATGCAGGTAGAATATTCTCACTACACGGATTATTTGTCAATATTTGTTGCATTGCATACATATGGCACGGTATTGGTGGTAACTTCACATATTTATTTGAGTTAATTGTTTCGGTTGCAGAAAAAATAGCTGAACGCTGAACGCTCCGCCTCGCAAATGCAAAATCCGCTTGTCAAACAAAGTGTCACTTTTGATCCTAATAAAACAATCTACTATTTTCTGCAACTGATACAAAGGTCATCCATTTTGATACCAAAATTAGCTCTTAAATTGACGTTTATATTACTGACAAAAACATAGGTATGTTGCTAGGCAACACTTTTACTTCCTAGAAGCTAAAGTTGAACTTCAGCTCATAGGAACTAAAAAGGATGGACTAGGTCTTCATGAATAAACAACATTTTTATGATTGGTTATTTGGGTTGGGACGCATTTGTTCCCGATTTCGGCAGATTTAGCATTTCATACCCATGCTGGAGATATAATACACCATATTGTTAAGCATTTTTGTTCTGATTAGGAAAGCCTTCAAGATTCACATACTTGCTTGATCTGAATTTCAATCATTCTCGCAATCTGATTGATTGGATAACTTGTTTTTGAATAATCACGGCCAGCAATACTTTTTTCTCACACAACGATATTGTTTATTTTCTATTAATTACCTAGCCAAACACAGTGGAATATGGGGAGAAATGAATAATCGCTATTATTATTGTTGATATGCTCACTAACCCAACATTCTCCACTTATTTTTTCTACACCTGGCACTGGCGCGATATTTGCCATTAGGGCTGACACCTGGTCCAAATCATGTGCAAATGAATGCATCGATTCATCGATTCAATAGAATACACAAATGGGTCACTGTGGTCAATGTGATTGTATTTATATTGGAACTACAATGCAGGTAGAATATTCTCGCCAGACGGATTATTTGGTGCATTGCATACATAATATGGCACGGCATCCACGTTTTGGGTATAGTATTGAATTCGTGCCTGTAGTATCTGATGATACATGTCAACACAAATTGTAACAAAGTAAAGTCATCATCCACCAATATTCTAATGTAAAGTATTCTGAGGTCTTGCTTCTATCTACTTACCTATATGATTATAATAAAGGTATTATAATAATCTGCCAAGTAAGTAAGTAAGTCACATTGGTGCTCGGTGGTTACTTCATATATTTATTTCAGTTAATTCTCTAGACTGCAGAAAAAATAGCATGTTTCATTCAGATCAGATGTGAAACTTTGTTTGACGAGCAAAACTTGCATTTGCGAGGCCGAGCGTCTACTACTATTTTTAGACGACAAAACGACAAAACGACAAAACGACAAAAAATCGTAGACGGTAGTAATTTTATTGACTTTTTCCAATTATTTCATATTACTTTTCATCTCTCTAGGATCTGAAATATTTCTTGAAAATCACCCTACTCATAGGCACTAGCTATGAGATTAATGATTAACAGGGGGATATCTCCCTGGCTTGACACATATAGGGAAAATGTCATTCCCCATGTGTCACCAATTTGATTTCATTTTCAAATAATTCCCACACACAATTTTCGTAACAAATGTCCGGCAAGCTCAAATTAAATTTTCGGAATATTATTCTGTTGCGTTTTTCTCAATATAATCCGCACCACGATATTTCTCTATCCTTTCTAGGTGAACACGATGTTCCTTGAACATGATAGGGATTCCCATTCATGCGCTTCAAGAGATAAAAATGCTATATGGAGGAACTATAAGGGTTGCTGCCACTACCGAACTGGATTAGGAAGGAAGCAATGGCGGCCCACCTGAGGATCAGTGGCGGCTCCTCAGAGGAGGCAACGGAGGCTGAGCCTCCTCAGAGATTTTCCTTGAACTAATATTATTTATACTTTCTCATTAAAAGGACACCAAAATACATGGATTTTGATTTTATTTCCTGTTTTTAGTTAAATATTTTTGAATTGGCAACAGTGCTTGCCCACGCATCACGCGCAAAATATTCAACTTGGCAACATCTATAGGAGGCTAGACTCCTTCACATTTCGCAACCTACGCGCGCAATGCAAATGCCCGAATACGCCCGAATAGCACGTGTTTGACGTGTCGCTTCGCGAATTGCGGACAAACGCGAGTACATTGTTTATACTTGTTAGGTTAATGGTTAGGGGCTCTATAAATTTTTGAAAAATGAGTGTTTTAAACGATTGCGATTTAGTGGAATACTTTTTGGTGAACCCATTCAGTGCTTTGTCTTATGAAGATAAATTGATTGTGAAAAACAAATGTCCGACACCGGAATTAAAAAATCTGATTGTAACAGGTAACAAACAAAATCGTTCGTTCAATTCTGATAATTATAAAAAATATATCTGGTTGACGGGATCTGAGGTAAGGAATAAGCTATTTTGTTGGTACTGCGTATTATTTTCAACCGATAAGTGGGGGGGGGGGCGATTAGGATATAATGATTTGAAAAATTTGCCTCGCGGATTGGATAGACACTGCAAATCACAGGAACATATCTCTTCAAGTATTAAGTTCAGGTCAATTCGTTAACAGAATGTCATTAAGGCTATTGATTTGGGCATTTTGGGTGAGTAGAGAGTTGTTTTTCACAATAAATATCATATCATTCAGCCTCCTCTGTCATGAAAGTCACGAGCCGCCACTGCAGTGAGGATGCGAGTGCTAAGGTGAACGTAGGGGCACTGATAGGACATGCGGCAATTTCTACGAGGGTGGAACACGAGGTCCCTATCTCCACTATGAGAATAAGACACGCATAAGACAGGCTGCAATGGGAGGGAATGCTTTGAAGTTTTTGCCAGGGAATTTAGTATGTTACACAGGCGGTTCCCGCCTGAACGACAAACAAGCCTCTGGCGCAGGAATCTACCTAGATGGTGGTATAAGAGAAAGTTACGCTCTTGGAAAATATACCACAGTTTTTCAAGCAGAAGTTTATGACATCCTAGCCGTAGCAACGAAGCAGGAGGTGGAAGAGGGACCGGAGCAGAAAATCTGCATCTGCTCGGACAGCCAGGCAGCACTCAAGGCAATCTGCCCCCAGACCAAGTTCGGCACTGGTACAGGAGTTTGGAGATGCACTTGAAAAACTAGGCAAATCAAAGGATGTTGAACTAGTGTGGGTGCCCGGCTATAGAGGGGTATGAAACAGCAAACGAATTAGCAAGAACCTGTCATAGGCATAGCAAGGAGTCAAGTTTAATTTCGCTTCAATGAATGAGCGATCGCAGCGATGAGTGAATACTGAAGGCAGTCTAAAGATTTCGTGGCTGGACGAAGTAAATCAAAGACGGCATGGTTACTGGGCAGAGATCGCCAAGTACTGCGCGTCCTCATGGGTGTGCTTACAGGACATGCCGTAAGTGTGAAGAAGACGTAGAAGAAACGTCATACCAATACCTGCGCCAGTGTGAGGCATATGGAAGGTTAAGATTCGGAATCTTTGGTGCTGATAAGCTTCATCAGGAAGAATTAATTAACCGAAGGTGGACGGACATACTGACCTTTATCAGAGGGTCAGGGAGGTTTGAAAAGGAGAATTAGGAGAAGGAAAAGTTGATATGTGTGCGGCAGGGATCAGCAAAAAGGACCCATGGGGGCCACTTGCTAGGCAACCGACTCCCCTCTCTCTTACTACTACTACTACTTCTGTCCTTAAAATGATTTCTCTTTCGAATATTTTTTATCACAGCTGTACTAGTGTTGCAATATATATCATTCTTTCGATTTCAACTGATTGTGTTGGAGTTATTAAATAGTTATTCCACGAAAACACAATGGATTCATCATATTGCCATTTTCTGTACTTAAAATAATTTATCTTTCGTATGTTTCCATCACAACTGTACTAGTAACATATATCTTCTGGATTCACATTCTTCCAATTTCAACTGATTGAACTGGAGTTATTATACAGGGTGTCCGCTAAAAGGAGGTCAATCCATTAACCATATATTCCTTGAACAAAAATAATATGAGTTTCTAAATACCATTTTTCATTTTAGCCCTTCTTATTCGATATACAGGGTGTCAAAGTTGAAAATTAAAAACTGTTTTTTTTTTAATTACTCGCGTAATTAATAAGCTATCAATCTCAGAATAGGTACATTACTTCAGCACAAAGAGTTACATCGTGTGAGGAAAACAAAACAGAAAATAACTGTCAAATATTCAAAATACTGAGGGTCAAGTACACACTTACCCCCATATTTTTTTTGTACGTGCGCTAATGACTTCCTATCTATTTTTCTTCATGTGTTCAATCATTTTTGAGTATTTTTTGATTTTTGTAAAATTCCGATAAAATTATTTGTTGTTAAGATAATTCGAAAAGTACTGGTTATTGTTTGATGCCTTGCGGCTTACGGTAATCTCATAATGTTCACATACTCCTATTTATTTCGTCGAAATTGGAAGAGGGCGTATCTTATTACGTACGGAAAGGTGAATATGGAAATACCGGGTGCTCAGAGCGAATGTATTAAAATAATTTTTACTTTTTTAATTTTTTTATTTTTTTTGTAAGTCCTCGCCCCAGTCACTAAATTCGAAGTCGGATGCACAGACCACTAAGCCATCGCTTTACATATATGTTGTGGGTGACGTCACTTGACCTCAATGTTTGAAGATTCACTGGTAGAGCTAGATCAAAGAATAGTAGGTTGCTAGATGCTTGTCTTAGAGACAGGAGGTAACAAATATAATCAGAGCGTCTGAATTATTTCTTCATACTACCACAGTTACTACGACTCATGGCGTAGTTGACTGTGCGTTTGAATATCACAACGGTGACCCGGGTATAATGCCTGCAATGGTCGGCTTTTTTAAATTCTATTTTCTCAAGTGATTTTCCGAAAAATATAATTTTTAGAAAGAAGGTTCATTTAGGCTGATTGAGGTTAGATGGTTTGAAAAAAGTAGTGTCCTTCTTTTATGCAGAAGGGTATTTTCCTTCCTCCCTGAAAAATGTTCTGTCTTTTTAGGAAGAAGGTTCATTCAGGCCGAGTAAGTTTAGATGGTTTGAAAAAAGTAGTGTCCTTTTTTATGCAGGACGGGTATTTTCCTTCCTTCCTGAAAAATGTACTGTCATTTTAGGAAGAAGCTTCATTCAGGCGGAGTAAGGTAGATGGTTTAAAAAAAGTAGTGTCCTCTTTTATGCAGGAGCGGGTGCAGGAGTGATATTTTCTTGCCTCCGTGAAAAAAAGTATTTTGGAGGCCTCGTTGGAGGCATTTACTGTTGAGAAAGAGTTTTGACAACATTATTTTCTAGAGTAAAGGTTTGTTTTTAAAGTAGAAGTAGGCTCTTTTCATTTCATGAAAATGCTATTCTCTTCTTTTTGGGTTATCCTATCAGTTCAAGATCATTGAAGTACTTTCTTCCTCAAGTTGAAGAAAATCAGGGCAATTCGGCAACCTTGATATGAGGATATGCCAAGTCCCCACCACTATTCTATTTAATGACACAAACTCCACAGACACAAGTTACAAAAAGTCCTGACCCATAGGGGATGACCTGGGCGGTAGGGGAGCGTTTGAAGATAATTTTTTCAAGTTATTCTGGAATAACTGATCAACATGAAATTTCCACTAAAAAATGAATAGTTTCTGGGATACATGGGATGAAAGTATAAAGAAGTATCAAAAATAGAGTTTGATGTTATGATATTGGTATTTACATGATTAGTAACAGAAAAATTGTTATTTATACACCAAGGTAGTAAATAGTATCACAGGATTCAGCAGAGGGGTATAATTCCACCATGGGTATAAGGTCCCATATTCTTTGCTACAAAGGTGTGTATATCTCATTTTTTCACCACTAGCATTTTAGATCTGTGAAACTGAAATATGGACCTAAGGTATGTTCCTGTGTGTTGCTCAACTTGATTTTGTTACCATAGTTGTCTCTGTTCATTGCATAATGTAAACAAAGAAAGTCATGCCTCTATTGTCACTATGAAAGCACACTTATTTCTCAATTCTTATTCCCAATTTTAATTGAAATCTAGTAGACATGACCATGATAGCATATGACCTACTAGATTCCTGTGGCATTGCTGTTCATAAAACGAAGTTAATTACCTTGGTAGTAGAAACACACTTTACACTTCGAAAAGGAGTTGATAATGGTAATATTTATACCTAATGATGAAAAAACTCAATTTTTGACACTTTGATTTTTTCATTCCCTGTATCTAAGGAACTATCAATTGTAGATGAAAACTGAATAAATCCTTTTCTATAGGAAATTTCATGTTGTTCAATTTTGTTTCAAGTATAGGCTGCCAACCAGTTGGCAAACTATACTTTCTCATTAGACTGCCGACCATTCAGTACTCAGTGAAATACATTCTTACTAAAGAGAAAAGCATAAAAAAGGGTATAAATTGCCGACTCGGCACTGGGCAGTCTATACACTTCCATTTTTTTAACCAATATTTTCTCACTACAGGTGATTTTCCGTGATTTTCCAATTATTCAATAATACTTGAGAAAATGACCTTCAAACGCTTCCCTCATCTCCTATGGGTCAGGCAGGATTCAGGACTTTTAATAGTCTTAATATGTTGTTCATGGCAGTTCCCTTTAGCACTGTCCAAAATTTTCTGACTACATGATTTTTTCTCCAAGGACCTTTTTTGGCGTTCGTTGATTGAACTGTTATATCCCTTGTAACATAGGTACCTAAATAACTATAATTATTATTATTTCAATAATTATTATTATTTACCATGCTTTGTGGAAGTAATTGTTACCATGCCTGTCAGACTCAGAATGTCAGAATCTGAGTGAAGTTGAGAGTGTTGAGTGGATAGCACAGGTTGATAGATGATAGTTGATACTTGATATTGATAGTGGATGCTTGTTTATACACTCCTTTTCAGCACTAAAACCACTTGAACCTTGAACTGTGTGTTAACTGTTAATTGAAGTTGATCAAAGAAAAAGTAAAGAGTAAAGATAACCGTGCCGCTGGCCATCAGCTGGTTTTCCAAGATATTTGACATTTTTATGACAAATAGATAAATTACATTTTGGGACTGCCTACGTATCTAACTGGTAGGATGTCTAGCAGACAATTTGAAAAACGGGTGCCTCACGACAGTATCGCACACGGCATCCAACATCCTTGAGGAGATACAGGATATCTATAAATTATTGTCGTAGCATCGTACACAAGCTATATACCGTGGCTCTTTGAGATCTGAAGGTTATCAGGTTGTAACATCAACCTTTAGTAAATGTTACTTTTTCTATGAAATATTGATAGTACCAAGTAATCAACTGACCTTTTTAGAGTAATTAATTCAACTCTGGTTTTCACTGAATGTATTTTGAGAACTTGCATCCCTTTTGTAGGATATTTTGAGCTTTTCTGTTACAGATTTCATGGAGCTACGAGTCACTGGCATACATCGGAGATCATCCTGTATATTCTTTGCATAATTGATTTTAATAGCATGTCATGTTTTGTTGACTTGATCAAACGAGTAGTTGAGGTTGTGATTTTAATTCTTCTTTTTCTTTTGTTCCTTTGTCCCATGTAGCATTGACGAATAGTTCGGCGTTCAGACCTTCAACGAGCAGGATCGCGACAGTAACATATCAAGGTTGATAAACTTCGCTATATCTTTAGAATGTCTAGATAGTAGGCGGTCAGCGTTTTATTATTGTTATCGATCTGTATTGATTTATATTGATTATTCATTTGAACCTGATATCGGTTATTGCAACGGTTGATTCGAATCTGGCTATTTGGTTACTATGATTTTTGGACTTTAATGACATGGACATTTGAATTTCCAACTGGAAAAGAGAAAGAAAAATTGAAAATCGTTCATTTCTGCATCTGGCCATCATTGAATGAACTCGTAGGTGGATGTCCGCTCAATCAAATTTCTAATCATCCACCATTTCTCGTGAAGAACATCTAATTAGAGGTAACTATTCAATTATTAAGAATATTTTTGATTTATAGAAATTATTATTTTTATGGAATTTGGTCCATATTCATGGAAATTAATTTGTGAACTTTCATCATCTTGAGGTTACGTTATTATAACATGTTTTCTATTTTTCCTATGTTATAGTTCTGCCAGACTGTAATGTAACTTTTACATTTGCTTTTATAGCTTTACTTTTATTTGTACTTTCAATCTTCACTTTTTGGATTTGGAAGATTAGCTAACTTTTGCTCATAAATGCTTTTTTATGGACTCGAAAGAGTAAGCATATTTCTGATGATTTGAAGAAACAATCTTCATGGAAAGATTGTCCTACTGGCTTTTAGAGCCGATTTATTGTTCCTGTTAACGCTGGAAAGCTATTGATGTAAATTTCAAGAAGATAGAGAAAATTTCCAACTTGTTGTCATAAATTCAACGTACTGGCTGGACTAAGGATACTTATAGGTCACCTGACGTCTCACCAGACTCGTATGCTCTCATGAAATCTGGAACCTGATGGAGCCCAAAATGATAATGAAATTGACCATGATGTAATTTGGAAGCTGGAAATATCAATAATAAGCTCTGGTCAAACAACATTTTCTGGCTTATTCACAGTCTTGCTGACATAAGGTATTCTCTGCATATTATAAAGTATTCACTGATTGAAGAAACATTTATTATCAAATCTTTTATAATATAAAATCGAGTACATTTTGGAATCTAGTACAATTGAAAAATCATTATATAATATTCCTATATCTGTGAAGGTGTAATGCATTATATCTGGGGAATATTTCACTGATTTCATTGATTAGATTTACTCGAGCCCGATGATCATTGTGTCAATAAGTTTCACTGATAGGAGATCGTTTATTTAACACCCTGTATAATAATTATGCACACCTAGTTGCATTTCAGGTGCAGTCAGATTCATTTGTGACACATATTATAAATGTTTTGTGATGCAGATTTATTACCCTTTTTTAGTCAGTAAATGAACCTAAATTTTATTTGTTTGATTTGTTTTCCTATCCTTCAGCACAGACAACTTCTTTCTACAGGGATTGGCTTAAGAAAGAGGTTTGTTGAACTTTATTTTCTGTAGATGGCGTCCAAATAAAATCTTATCTGGTGGAACTATCTTTCTTATGCTAATTGTTATATTTTTGACAAAGTTACATGATATGGTAAGTAAATGAACCACGACCTATTTGCCCTGACTATATGAGCTGACCGTTCGCACAGTGTAACCTGTAATTTCTAAATTTATCACGTTTAAGGGTTATAAGGTAATACAGGGTTCGGCAACAGGATTGAATGGTTTTGGAAAGGTTGCTTTGGAAATACTGTTTATTTGACAAACGTCAAATAGTGATGAAATTGTAGTTTATTATTGCAGGTTTTGTTTCACAATGGCAAATTGGCCGGTTATAATCAACGGATTTTTGTTGTAAAATCAATTATCCTGATCCAGTCCATTGTGCAAACCCAGAGGCGTTCTCGCCGCGAATTCAATTCAGCAGTGCGCGCCTGAAGTCCCATCAAGAAAAGCAATTTGGAGATGAGTAAGAGATATAGACGAAAGGGGCAGTGTAAACTCAAAATTTGTCGAAGGTACACGTACCTACAGTTCGTACACAAGGTAATATTTAGCGCGCACTGTCGAATTAAATTCATGGCGAAAACGACTCTAGGTTAGCAAGATGTACTGAGTCAAGAGATATGATTTTACAGCAAAGATCCGTTGTAGAGTCCGACCACAATAACTTTGGGACAGCACGTGGTCGCGTATGCATTGAATATGCATATGCGTTGCGTCACATGCTGTCCCAAAGTTAACGTGGTCGGACTCTAACACAAAATCTGCGCTTATAAACAACAATTATATTACTATTTGTCGTTTGACGTTTGTGAGATAAACATTATTTCCACAGCAACCTTTCCATTCAATCTTGTTACCGGACCCGTTATAATGGATTTGCCTCGAATGTATGAATTCGGAGGTATACTGTACATCTATAAAATTGATGTCCAATAGATGTTCATGGACATCCTTAACCTGATGGACAAGAAATGGGCATCCAAGAATGTATGTGTTGGCTAGGAAGATGTCGTATTTTAGAAATAACTTATTTAAGTTGTAAGTTTTGCATGCAGAATAGGTATTCTTGTATCTGGTACGCAAAATGCTACTTTGATAATCGAGAAGTGGTTTATTAACGAGGCGCAGTCGAGTTGAAAAATAGTCGAGATCACCAAAGTATTTCCCGCACGAGTTGCAAACAAAATTTTCTCTACAAACGTGAAAAAACATAGTTCTAAAATAGTGGTATACAGGGTGTTCCTCAAGTACGTGTGGACAAATTAAGAGCCTGTTGCTGACGACAAAATAAGAAGAAATTCGTTTCTGATGCAGAATGTAAAAGTTTGATTCTTATATTAATGTGTTTTTGTGAAAAATTCCAGAATAATCGTGATAATCTAGTGAGATTTGTTCTCAGAGTATTTTTCAATGACAAAATCAAACTCAATGTTGGTTGGTCTCTTCAGTGATGGTTGCGCCACCTACATGTCTTTTATGTCATTTGGAATGTTATAACATTTCCTAGTAGGAAAATCGATTTCTCTAACATTTTTTAGAAAGAATGATATATTAGTAGAGGTCGCTACGAACAACCGTTTTCGAGAAACTTGAATTTGAAATAAATCGATCCAAATGATCTTGATTTTTGACTGACAAAATAACTGAATAATTTGTAATCAATTTGAATAGAAATTATGTTTCTACATAATTATATCGAATTTTTCAAGATAGAGATCGGTTATTGTTATCTCACTTTGATACTAATAATACAATTGTTTGATTGATACAGTTGATTGAGGGTAATAATTCAAGGTTATTTCATGAGTTTTATCGATGACTTCACTGATAATTACCTACGAAAATATTCATATTTGACAAAAATACGAAAACGAACCGATTGATTGAGTACTACCAAGCTGATACACCCCCTGCGCCATGTTTATTCATATTTTGATTAATGTCAGGTCTGTTTGGCCGAGCGGTTTACCAATAGAAAGCAGATTTTTCAGACAGAATGGTAATAATAATAATAATAATAATAATAATAATAATAATAATTTTATTGATCTTATAGAAACACAGAGTTTATAGACACGTCACAAAATTTGAGAGCAGTTACCTACAAGAGCAAAGTTCATAAAATTACGACAATAAAGTACATCAATTCAAAATAAAAAATACAAATACAGATACATGCTAAAATTCTTTGGCGTTACTCAAATGGAATACGACCTTATTTAAGAAAATAATAAATTCAATAAATTCAATGTTCAAGTTTGACATAATAATGCCTCATTTGAAAAAGAATCAACTTTTGTACGTTCGATATAATATAGTATATTATACACCTAGGGTGAGAAGTGAGCTATTATATAGCAAGCACTTTCATATCTAGAGGAGCGAAGCGCCGAAGAATATAATGTGCGAGCTATATAATATCATTTTCGCTCGAGGTATATACAATTTTTTTCCACTAACAACACTATCAATTCAGATTTTCATTTTCATTGAAGGAGCAATGTCATTCACCGCGTGTATATTCAGCATTGTTCAGCATATTCAGGTAACACGGAACTCTCCGTTAGATTTTCTGTCAAATCAGTCATTGTCGTAGATGGAAAATAGAAATAGGGTATAAACACCCACTTCAGTTCATATAGTGATACACTTTTCGCAGAACCATATAGTTATGAAAATGGAAAGAATTCATGTAACAACATTATAATATGACAAAATAGACACATATGTAGATAAACTTATCGAGATTGTTTTGATTGTCCACCTTCTGCTGCATTCACTTTCTATACTGATTAATTTTCAATTTGGTCAGTATTGAAAACTTCATTCAATTATATTATATCACGTTGCAACTTACTTGATTTCCTCAGTTTCGATATAAAATTTTCAATATCATTATACGTAGTATTGCAATCAATTACTCTAACATGCTTCTGTTTGTCAATGGGCATAAAATATCGTCTTATTCCAATCTGCTGTTACAAGAAATAAGTTAATGTATGTACTCATCTCACAAATTTTGCCTGTGTTCAAGTTAGTTGTCCATCCAGGTAGTTTTATACAGTCCTTCCATATATAAGGGAATGCTTGATATTTCCTTCAGAAAATTAAAGAAATGAAATCGCCATTCGATCTAGAATTTCCGCAAATCATTACATAGCAGGATACTTCCATTCATGCTTTTTTCTCAATAGTTAATGAGATTTTATTTCAGTTCGGATGTTCATAAAATCACAGTTGAGAGAATATTACAATTTTGAATGAAAGAGCGCGGAATAACTATATGATGCTGTTGTCACAATGCAAGTTGTGTAACTTGATAAATCTAAACATTCAAAAACACTAACCGTTGTCATTTCTGTGTCCGAACTCTTACCGTCTCTTACCTAACTATTACCACATTACCATCCAGAGACTCTACCGGAAGCTATGTTTATTTTTTCAATACCATCAAGTTATCACTATGAATACAAAATCATGCTGTTTCTGATCTCAATAAAGACACGATCTTGGTTTATCAGCAGACCCTTAATCAATTTCCTAGATACGTCTCTGTCTGAACTGTCTTCATCATTGATTATTGGAATGGTAGACATCCTATAAGATTGTACATAAATGTACACCTAAGACCCGCTAAGTTCAACGAATATTTCATCTGTGCATTCGAAACAGTCATAAATCAGAAACTGGTGACTCAAGCGCCGCCAGCCTACATAAAATGGGGATTTCTGCCTTGGTTCTTAACGAAAATGTATCATATTATTTAAGATCACTCGGTATGAACTGTCTTAGAGTACTGGTTCAACTTACGTGATGGATAATTCACGCACATGTTTATTTAGTGATTTCAACTCACAACTTAGTTACCAACTACTGTAATTACTTCACTTCACTTTGTTTAACATACTGTTACAATTCTGTGGCCTTTTGCCAATACTTGATTAACGACTGCATAAGTACTATTGCTGATTCCTACTTGACTCAAGTTGAGTCCTAATCGAACTCGAACATGACTTAATGCCACTTGAATGTGGATCAGAATGAACCGAATGAAGTACTACCGCTGTATCAAAGCTGTATCTAACGGATTGAAGCTGCATAACTTTCTCTACGTTGACACCTGCTGGGGGCATATTTCCATATACGTATTAATAAACAATACGGATCATAACGGGTGCCAGGATGAAGCCAAAAATATGAAACAAATGAATATCCATGAGGATTTGGTGGCATGATACGCATGCGCCATGCGCTATTATAGTAGTCACGTTTACTAGCCTTTCAATCAAAGCAGTATGTGTCTGATCGTTTCAAAACTTTTCCATATGGATAGCCATTTATCTTAAAAAATCGGCTTCATGTTTCGCTATGGAAACAGATAAAGATTATCCGTATTGATTATTAATACGTATAACTCTATAACTTTGTGAGTTTTGCTCATTGAGGGCGCTAATGGCACTCTGTTTTACCTCGGTAAATGTGTCAATTGTCATGTCAGTCTCCTCTAAACCACTGGATTCTCGCAAAGCGATTTGAAAGTGCGCATTTTATTATATTAGATTGATGGATCTCTAATCAACATTCCAGTAGAATTTTGCAACAGTTTGATGGTTTCTTCGATTCCTGTGCTTGATAAAATGTTGGAATGAAAAACGAACCCATTGTTATCAATGCGCGAATCTTGTCATTTTTCGACGTTTGTAGAAACCTTCCATTTATTACGTTATCACGAGAAAAGCCAGAATATTGGATGTAGAGTACGGGGACTGTCTGCAGACACTCGTGTTCAGTTCCGGCCGGCAGGCCGAATAGCCACTTTCTTCCAAACAACCCAAAACAGCAGTTCCTTCATTAATTAAAGTGGGGTTAAGGAAAAAAAATTGAAATGAAAAATCAGGGAAAAATTGAAAATTGAGAGATAATAATATGGATTCAGGACTAAAAACCGAAGAGTCTTTGAAGAAACTATGTGTTGAAATTTTCTCCATATTGCATCAGTATGAAACATCCCAAAAAACTAGGCAAGTACCTTTGTAATTATGAAGATTGCATTCTGGTTTCATTTCAAGAAAAACTAAATTTCTATTCTACTGACAAGATCAGAATATTATATTATGTATTTTCAGTATTCATTATGGTAGAAGACTATACTCATACGGAGACTTATTATGCACAGTGTTTCAAAATAGATGTAAAAAACGAAAAAAATATATATGAGAATTGTATTGCACTTATGTGGTTCTGTGGGTTTTTCTTTCAAATTCTATTTAATAGGGTCTTGCATTATTACGTTTAGAGAAAATTATCCCAGGAGCTTCCTCATTTGTACCAGACACTTCATCTGGAAATGTCTGTATATTCTTTTAACAAATACATAGATCCCAACTATGATCCCAACACCTAATTGGAGATGTTCAACAATGATTGTAGAGAAATGAAAGTAATATAAGTAGTGGTAGTAGGTAGTAGTAGTAGTATAAGGTAACTATTGTAGAAGTAGAAATTTCTAACTTAATAACTTGAAGAAGACAAACCTCATGACAAACCTCCAGTTATAAAATGTCACTTTTCATAAATTACTTTTTATTCCACAGTACTTTTTTCCTGGATATACAGGGTGTTTCATAGGTAAAGGGAAATATTTCAATGGTAGATAGGGGTCACCAAGGTGGTTCTGAAAATACCATATTTGATGGGTCTAAGAGTCTTCATAACAGAGATACAGGGCGATTTATCGATTTCGAATAAATATTCATTCCTCTATAAGTATTGAACTCGGTATTGAACTACCCAGTATATTTTTCTAAAATTTGGCATGGAGCTCATACTTGGGACGTTAAATTCATTCACCTATCGGGTAAAGTGAAAATCCAGGTTCGGCTTCACGAAAAATTTACATTTATTCGAAATATTAAAATAACACACTGTATGTAATAATTGACAGAGTTCATCGAAGGAATCGTGGAGAGGAGGAAAAACTGAACTAGATTTGATGCTTTCTGTTTTCCCACCACCAATTCTCATTCTAACAATCATAAACAGAAAGCTAAAAGTATGTCAATTTGAAGAGTATTGAAATTATGAAACCACTTTCAATTATGATTATTTGATATATTCTTGTTGAATGATCGTTCAAAAGAACTTACTCAGTCTCACAGTCTTTATACCAGAGATACAGGGTGAATTGTCAGTTTCGAATAATTATTCACTTGTCCATATAAGTATTAGACTACCCATCGCAGTAATATTTTCTCAAATTTGGTATTTAGCTTACTTGGGACGATGGATTCATTGACCTATCAGGCAGAATGGCAATACAGGTTCAGCTTCAGGAGAAGTCTCATAGTCTTTATAACAGAGATACAGGGTGAATTATCGAATTATAATTATTTGGTAATATTTCCATTCGGCCTGATAGGTTAATGAATCCATCGTCCCAAGTAAGCTACAAATTTGAGAAAATGTTACTGGGTAGTTTAAGACTTATGAAGACTGTGAGACTTAGTGAGTTCTTTCGAGCGATTTTTTGACTGAAATATCAAATAATCATAATTGACACTGGTTTCATAATTCCAATACTCTTCAAATTGAAATATTTTCAACTTCCTGATTATGATTGTTACGATAAGAATTGGTGGCGGGAAAACAAAAAGCATCATATACAATTCAGTTTTTCCTCCTCTTCACGATTCTTTTGATGTACTGTGTTAATTATTGAATACAGTGTGTTATTTTAATATTTCGAATAAATGTAAATTTTTCCTGAAGCCGAACCTGGATTTTCACTCCGCCCGATAGGTGAATAAATTTAACGTCCCAAGTATAACCTCCTTACCAAATTTGAGAAAAATATACTGGGTAGGTCAATACCTATAGATGAATGAATATTTATTCGAAATCGATAAATCGCCCTGTATCTCCGTTATGAAGACTCTAAGACCTATCAAATATGGTATTTTCAGAACCACCTTGATGACCCCTTGTACCATTGAAATATTTCCCTTTACCTATGAAACACCCTGTATATCACATAATTCACAAATCACATATTATAAATAGACTGTTGAGGGCAGTGCCGGTTTTACGAGGGGTCTTTTGGGTGCTATAGCACCAGGCGGCAAAATCTTCAGGGCGGCTATATGAAAATACAACTGCACATCTTTTGTCATCAGTCATTATCTGGAAATTTTGATTTTTCACTCGAAAGATTTGATCACTACAGTACCTAAACTGGAATTAATGTTAAGAACTGAATCATCCCAAGAAAAGCACAATTAAAAGAAAAAATACGTCCAAACCAGAGAGAAAAATGGCGGACACAGTGTTTTATTTCAAGTTGTAGATTTGAAATTTTTCGTCGGACTTCCACCTAAATTTCGTTCAGAATCATTTGACTTCCTGTTCAAGATAGTGTCAGCAGAGGATGGAAATTTGATCAAGTTGGCAACTAAGCAACAAAAAAGTATGTAGAGGATCTAAAAAAATTTGTTCCTGACAAATGTTATTCATCTAAAAAAAAAAAAAAATTCTCTCCTAGAGACTAAAGCAGAAACTCCTATTTTGGAATTAGTCCAAGTTCTACACGAGAATAATGTGATATCTTCTTTTCCCAATGTGATTATTTGTTTTCGAAACTTTTGAGCTAACAATTTTTTGTCTCAACTGAAACAGGATCTACTAAATGAAACTAGTGTATAGAGCTTGTGAAGAGTATCATACATAAAGGCTTGCATTGCAGCAAGGAAACGCATTTTTGTAGTTTACGTACTTGCCTATTATCATTTGATTTTTCTTTTTCATTCTAACACTAACACCTTGTTAATCATTATGTGAACACTAAAGAATTATGTTTTTAATTTTATTTCACAACATCCTGTTTGTTATATTATATTTTTCATTTTGTTCATCAAACTTCTATAGAAAAAAACTGATGTGCACTTCTATGGTATAGGTACACTGCTTAATGATTATGCCGGTCTTATAATACGAAGCACCTAGGACGCGAGTTTGCCGTTTTATTCCAATCCCATAAAACGTCCAACGTGCCCATAGAATTCATTATCACTTCAAAAATGTGTCATGGGAAAAATTCAAAAAGGATCTGAAAGATTAGGAATATTTTTGAGTCTGAAGGGCAGCGCGTCCACCATAGCACCAGGCGGCAAATCACCTTAAACCGGCACTGGTTGAGGGGTTTTGTTGTGCTATAGTTTTGAAAAATAAGCACCGTCTCCCAGAAAGAACTGCAAGTCTTTTCATCTTCCATTCAACTTCATGATTAGTGATTATGTAAATTACTAAACAACCACTAGATTTGCAATTTTTTGAAATCAAATCACAGAATTAGGCTGACAGATATTTTATTACTTGAAACGAATGATGAAGATGCCTGCAAAAAGATGCCTGTGAGATTAACCCGTCGAGTTGAGGCTTCGAACCCCTTTGTTGTCACTTTGGAGACCTGCAGAACATCTCTTTCCAAAGACTCCTTCATCCAACGAACATCGAGGCTCTTGAACACATTGGCAAGGGAGGTGTACCCGAGGCATATAACCTCCAGAATTTTAAGAAGAACACCAATTCCTACCTTATTTCCCTTGGTTCTCATGATTTTCTCTGAACATTACAGGATATCCCTTTTAGTGGGAACCAGAACATAACAAATTGTTATGTGCAATAAACATGCAATATTTATACAGTGTGTCCCACTTACCATGCTCACCATGTGTATCTTTTTAACGGTGAGAGATACGAGGTCGGTTAAATGACACCAAATGTGGAGTTTGTCAAGGCCAACTATAATGTGAAGAAATATTTTGATAAAATCTATTCGTTTTTGGTTTATACGCAAAAAACAGATTTTGATCATTTTCATGTCTCCTCCGTAACTTCTTTATTTATGAAAATATTCAAATAGGAATTTCACATTCTCATGGCAGTTTTTCAAAGTGATTTCGAAAAAAATATAAAATTTATACCAACCCTTCTAGAATTTGAGATATCAGCACCAACTTTAGTTTTTCAAATGTAGGTCATAGCTTACTATGACTTAGTTACAAATAAATTTTTTTTCTCTTACAGATGATGTGTCGCAGTAATAGTTTTGTGTTGATAACAACGGAGTTATCGTCATTTATACAAAAACAAAAAAATATTCGGAAGCCGCCATCTTGAATTTATAAATTTTAACAAAAAAATCATGATCTCCGGCCTCAAAAACCCCCACTTACCAATTTTGAATGGAATCGGACCAAATCTTGTCCGTTATCTTGGAGCAGCCATTTTTTTTAATTTCAACAAAAATTTCATGATGTATTGTTACCGAAATTATGAACACCTGCCAAATTTCAAGTTAATCGGAGTTTTTGTTGAAATTAAAAAAAATGGCTGCTCCAAGATGGCGGACAAGATTTGGTCCGATTCCATTCAAAATTGGTAAGTGGGGGTTTTTGAGGCCGGAGATCATGATTTTTTTGTTAAAATTTATAAATTCAAGATGGCGGCTTCCGAATAATTTTTCGTTTTTGTATAAATGACGATAACTCCGTTGTTATCAACACAAAACTATTACTGCGACATATCATCTGTAAGAGAAAAAAAGTTATTTGTAACTAAGTCATAGTGAGCTATGACCTACATTTGAAAAACTAAAGTTGGTGCTGATATCTCAAATTCTAGAAGAGTTGGTATAAATTTCATATTTTTTTCGAAATCACTTTGAAAAACTGCCATGAGAATGTGAAATTCCTATTTGAATATTTTCATAAATAAAGAAGTTACGGAGGAGACATGAAAATGATCAAAATCTGTTTTTTGCGTATAAAACAAAAACGAATAGATTTTATCAAAATATTTTTTCACATTATAGTTGGCCTTGACAAACTCCACATTTGGTGTCATTTAACCGACCTCGTATCTCTCACCGTTAAAAAGATACCCATGGTGAGCATGGTAAGTGGGACACACTGTATATTAGGACATGAGTTAGAGAATTTTTGAAAATGTGATGATAGTGATGTCA